TATAAATGGAAAAAGTTGTGCTCAGATCGCTACATTTATACTTTGTGTTTCCCTTGAAGAAATGGCCTTTTAAGGATAAAATCTTAGTACTCTGATTTTGAAATTCTTCATTCCTTCAAGAAACCCTCTGGCCTCTACCCAATTTTTTATGGACTTTATGTCCCTGAAGCAAATTGAATACACAAAGAAAATGCATAGTGTCTAGCTTATTATAAATTGTTTAAAATTCGTAACCTTCTGAAATAGGGTGGTCATTGGCAGTAAATGATGTATTGGTTAATTAATTCGATTTAAATGTGATTTTGCAAGTAATTGCTCTAAATGGGAGTAAAACAATTAGAAAATTCCTAAATAAGACTCCTTATTGATTTATTCCCTAAATAGGAGCTTCTGGTTGACTGGTCCGTTCGTTTTGTCAATTTTGCCCTTCGTTACACATGCCATATGGAGTAATTAAATTTATTCTGTCAGATCTCTTTTCTTTTGTCGGACTTATCTTCCCTATTTTCAAACAACCTACCCTGAGCCTATCCTCTCTCTCTCTTCTCACGCAACCCTCCATCTCCTCTCTCCTCCATCTCCTTTCTCCACCTCTCTTCTAACATTTCTCCCAATTCCAGATTTCTCATCAACTCAGGCCACCGGCGCGGCAGACGGTGGCAATCATCGGTAAGTTTGATCTTTTTCTCCTCCTTTTCTTCTTCTCTTTTTCTCCTTCATCTTCTCCTTCTTCCTCCTTTTATTTTAAATTGTTGAGCAACATGGCCTTCTGTTTTCTGATTTTTGCTGCTCGATTTGTGCTTCCACTTTACTCTCTAGGATAAGAACCAAGTTTTATTGGTAGTATTTGATTTTGGCTTCTACTTTATTCCTTCTTCCCAGATCTGCTTTTGCCGTTTTTTGTTTTTTACTTTTTTGGGTTTTTCTTTCAATTTATTGGAAATTGGATTTTTATACGTTTGATTTCAATCAATATTTTTGTAATTTCGAAATTGTTTTTTAGTTTGAATATGGAATTTCCAAATCGCTATTTTTACATAATTTTTATATTACTAATATAAAAAAATACTGCTTTACTAAAATAATACTATTAATGACATGTTTTCTATTTGAAAGTATTGTTTTAACTCATAATGCCATTTTTATGACACTAACTAAATCAAGATGACAAATATAATACCAATAATGCCATGGTTTTCATATAAATATTGTTAATTTTGCACATATTATTTTGACACATAATGCCATTTTTATGACAATAAAGTACTAAACTAAATCAAGATGACAAATATAATACCTATAATGCCATGTTTTTCATATAAATATTGTTAATTTTACACATATTATTTTGACACATAATGCCATTTTTATGACAATAAAGTACTAAATTAAATCAAGATGACAAATATAATACTAATAATGTCATGTTTTTCATATAAATATTGTTATTTTTGCACATTATTGCCATTTGTGTGGCACTAATTACATGAAGATGACATTATATGACACTTTAAAAAACAGTATTATAATGCCATAAGATTGTCATGATGGCAATAAATCGTCTTTTGTTTTAATATGAATACCATTAAGAATTTAAGATGAGTTTTAAATGTTGAGATGTCATTATCAAGTATTTTTTTCAGATCTGAGTTTGGCAGGTGTGGATGAGGTGTTGGTGCCCATGAGAAGGAGGCCTTGACGGAGATGGCGGCTGCGGTGAGGTCGGCGGAGGTGGAGGAAGCAATGGCGGCATCTGGCAACGGTGGAGACTGGCAGAGGCGACATCCAGCGACAGCGAAGTCCAGCAGCGACGGCGGCAGCGAAGTCCAGCGGCGAAGTCCGGCGGCGACGGCGACGGCGAAGTCCGGCGTCGACGGCGGGGACTGGCGGCAGCAAAGTCCGGCGGCGACGGCGGCAGCGAAGTCCGGCGGCGACTGGCGGCAGCAAAGTCCGGCGGCAATGACTGGTGTAGGAAGTGTTGTGGTCACGCCTTCAAGACAATTCATCGTTGTGTGTGTTTATATTTTATTATTCTATTTTGTAATTTTAATAGATAGTGTAGGATTTTCATTAAGGGTAATTTTGAGAACTCATGTCTTTTTAGTCCTATTGAATCACACGGAACATACAACTCCTCTTTTTGCATTTTTGTTATGTTTTGCTCCTAGTTAGAGAATAACCTCCCGATAAGCAGTTCAACGTACCAATGTTATAACATTGGTACGTTGAACTGCTTATCGGTTGACCAATGTTCGGCACAGTTACTCGACCGCTTAACCAAAACAGCATGCACGTACGGTACAGTTATTAAACTTTGTTAAATACGAAATTTTCTACGTTATTGCATTTTATTATGCTTGAGAATATTACATGCATATGTCTTGTACAAATAATGCATGGTCTCATAGCTTAAGCACCCTGGTATAAGCTATAAACATATATTTGCATAAGCCTTTTGTTAAATTTAGAGATCAGACCGTGCTTTAGTATCATGTTTTTTCATTTTGTTTGTATAAATTTCTATTTCATACGGGTTTATTTTCATGTTTTTCTACATAATTAACATTGTTTTCCAAAAGAGATGAAATAATTGCTATGTATAATCAAACATTTTGTTCCAAACATTGTACCATTAATAACTAACTAACTAAATATACGATGAAAATGATACACGTACAAACCCATCAAATACTCAATCCAGCTCTACTTTAAAATTTGATTTATGTGATGGTTTGATAACGTCTTTCGATGAGTTAAGAGATTGGATTTGTAACCGGAATGTGACATCACACAACTTTTGTTACAAATTCAAGATGTTACGTTGCTGGTATTACATACTACGTAAAATGTTTCTAAAATATGTATGTACTATTATTTTTTATGAAAAATTATCTTAAATAAGACTAAAAACGTTTATGTATTTCAAGTAAAACTATCATTGTTTTTTGAAAGGAAAAACTATCATTGTTTTATTCCCTATACTTTATAATTTTAAAGATGACAATATTTTTCAAACTTGACAGTAATGACTCCTATTTAGAGAATAAAAACATGCAACCCTATTTTGAAATTCTCAAAGATTTTTACTCCTATTTTGAGAAAATGAGCATTGATATGATCGAAAACCATATTTTTTTAGTCGAACTTCAAGACATTTTTATTGAACATCAAACATTCGCTATTGAGTATTAGAAACATGCAATTGAGTATAAGCATTTGTATAATATGTTAAAATGATCTAACACCAGTACAAAATGAGCATACATTACTTACCAAATGAGCAAGGAATTTGTGATTCACATCATTTTGTTACTCATTTTTACATATTTCTCTCTCCTCTGTACAACTTTCCACCACACAATATACCCACTATCTTACTTCCCCTGTCCCGCTAGGATTGTCCCAGATACTATATATTTGGTCAACACAAATCACTCTTAATATCTTACTTTGTAAAACTTTTATGGTAGTTTCTGAATATGCATTTCTTTAAAAATAATTTGAGTGCGGACATAGATTTATTTGTACTTGAACATATAAATTAGGAATGGAGGGAGTACTCCGCAGCTTTTATTGCTTCAATACCATTTTCTCATAAAATGCTTTTTATTTTCTCAACCTAAAAAGGTGAAAATGTCGCCCAAAAAGGCAAAAACGCTTCAATCTTTTTTTTTTTGAACAGAAAAAACGCCTCAATCTTATTTTCTCAACCTAAAAAGGTGAAAATGTCGCCCAAAAATGCCCACGCACACGATGACCCAACTTACAGACCGATTATTAAACCGTAAATCACAACATGATCTCAATAAACAATTTGCGAGTAAGGTGATTTAAATCTGATAAGATTTCTACCTAAATTATACTCCCTCCATCCCAATATTATATTCACTCTTTCTTTTTTTGTCCGTCCCAGTAAAAACTCTTTTTTCCAAATTTTGACAAAAAACATGTGATTCACAACATTTGTCCCCTACTTACTCTCTCCTCTGCACAATTTTAGGTCACACATTTATCACTTTCTTAATCTATGTGTCCAGTCAAAACATGAGTTAATATTGGGACAGAAGGAGTAACTATTAGGAATTAAATGTGCAACCAATCCAACCATGCTTGACGTACTCACTCTTATACCTTCACAAACATAGGTGGATACAAAAGTGGGTATAAGAGTGATATATAAAAAGATCTTTTTGTTAAATGTTAGACCTCAATTCAACTATCTTATTCACCCATGGTTGACGGTTTTTATTTTCCTCACAGGGAACTGAAGGGAGAGATAGGAGTTCAGCTTGTGCGGTTACGTTACTTTGCAAATACAATGGTTGAATAGTTTGACTTTGAATAAATGAAGTGAAGGAGTGGTACGATTGAATTTGATAGTGGGAAGTGCACGATTGAAATGATGGGCATCCTTCAATTCAGTGCAAATAATGACACTTGATGATGATGATGATACGAGAGCTTTTCTTTCTTCTTCTTCTGCTTGTTTGATCGATGGATCAAAACCTGATGGAAATGATTCAAACTCAAGTTATGATCCGGCGGATTATGGTGAGTTGACAGCGGTAAACCGTTGTTTATAACGGATTGTTGGGAGTTTCAAAGGATAAAAGGAAGCATGCATGTCAGTCAGCAGGCACCTGACACGTACAACTCCTGATCATCTTCAATTCATGTCGTCACCACGTGGGCACAAGTACGGTGAGTGTGACCATATCTTTGCTTCCATGGCCATGATCTCTTCTTGCTAATTCTACATTTAGAAATGCCGGTCACATACAATTGGTACAAAGTTGCATGTGAGTACAGATAAGAATTGTTTGTGTACACAGACAAATTTGTCTGTGTCCACAAACATTTACTTTTTTTGTAAAAAGTACACTGACAGAAAAGTAAATGTTTGTGGACACAGACAATTCTTGTCTGTGCTCACAGGCAACTCCGTACCAATTGTCTGTGACCGACATTTTGTGTACAAGTTGTGTACAACTTGTGTACCCCTAACATTTCTCTTCTATATTTCAGCTTGAATTAATTACGGATGCTATTAAATTAGTTCATTTTTTTCTAATAAGTATTGGGTGAAATTTCGGAGTAGGATTATTTTAACTTTTTCGCAAATATACTTTTTTTTTTACTTTGTTAATGAAATATTTCGAATTCAAATTCATTAACAAATTCAAAAGATTCAACCATTCATCCGCTTTCACAAGAATCTCTTCAATTTCAACGTATTCCATTCAACTGATTTAACTAATTTTGATACTATAAGCCGTTATATCTTCCCAAAGCCATACAATTTTACACGGTTCTATTTGTTCACGCCTCAAAATATTTCAGCCATCCAATTTTTGTTTATTAAGTTAGACAATAACCAAATTAAAAGATTGTGTTTAAAAAATTGAGCTTCACACACACACAATAAGAGCATGTTTAGTAAGCCCTATTTTAAACGTGTCACTCTTATTAGTCAACTTGTTTTTACCAATGCAAACACAAGTTTTAACTTCATATTTAAATTGTGTGATAATTAAAATGAATAGAGTTGAAATTACTTTTCTGGTTAAATTTGCTGAAATTAATGCAAATGACATGTTAGATATTTTCTATACACATATATTGTTATTTTATTAATAATAAAAATTTAAATAATTCATATAACCTTTTTTACATAACAAACCAGATTCTGATGATAATTTAGCCGTTTCAATAAAAATTTCATCAATTTAAATAGATTTAGTCAATTTAAGTGTTGTCAAACAGTTTCTAAATATGCAACACAAATTACCCAAAAATAATTAATGTGCGACACAAATAAGAAATGCCCATTCATGAACAATTAAATATATAAATGATGTCAACATTAATTTTCATGCACCAAATGTATAAACAATCATGTTTGGTGTACACTAGTTTGTGTGCATCATTCGCACATATTGTTTGTCTACACACTTGCAAAGTTGTCTAAATACAAACAACACTATCTGCGGTCTCTTGCCAGATTGGTAAAAAAAATCATTTGAGACAAATTAGTAAAAAAAAAAGAAGTCCCATTTATTTGAGTGAGACACTTTTGATCCTCGATTTTAAAATTCGCGACATTTCATATTTTAAGTATTGTGAAATTGACATTTTCAGTTCTTCTACTTTAATTTTGTCATCACAAGGAAAGGATTAAAAATGTCAACGGTCGTGTTATATATTAGTAGGTGTTTGTTAGCTAATAGGTGGTTGAATCAGCAATTTGATACTAGCGGATCCGTTAGCTTTTTAACTAACCGCTTTCATTAACGGTTTGAAATAAAATGTTAGTGACTTAGCTGTTTGCAATTAGCTTTTAAGACGTAAAGTGATCATTAAGGATATGAATTTAAAAGTTTATTTATTTAATAAAAAAATCTTTTTTTAATAAGTCTAGGAAAAAGTTTTCAAAATTATATTTACATTTATTTTAAATGACCACTAACACTATCATTTTTAACATATGCATATCAATGCGAGCACACACATATAAATTCAAATATTTTATTTGCATAACACACAAACAAATACAACATGAATGCATTAAAACAAAGAGAAAGTATAATACTTTAGAGCACTAGGGTCGACACGTAGCTGATTACTACCTCCGTCCCTTAAAACTTTGCCAAGTTTGACTGGCACGGGAATTAATAAAGTAAAAACTGTGTGGTTGAGGTTTGTGCAGAAGAGAGAGAATTAACTGGAACCATAAATTATTTACTTAAAAGAGAAAGTGGCAAAGTTAGTGAGACATCCAAAAAAGGAAAGTTGGCAAAGTTTTAAGGGACGGAGGGAGTACTTAGGAAGGGAATCACTGTGAGAAGTGAGCCAATCTTTTACTGCATTAAGATTGGGCAACACAGTCTCTCCAGATTTCCTCCAAAGCTCAGCATCAGATGTCTTGAACCGATCAAGCAGTATCACATTCATCCCCATACTCCTTGCAGGAATAATATCTTTCCTGATGTTGTCTCCTATGTGAAGAACTTCTTCAGGCTAGGAGCAACATTTCCAGCTCTCTCCAATTCAATGCAATCTTATATATCTTTGGATCTGGTTTTTCTACACCTTCTAGGCCAGAGAATACTCCGAAGTCCCACTCAGATCGAGATCCCTTATTCATGGCACATAAGAACTTCATTACTCTCCACATCCCAAATAGAAATCTTGTTTGCAATTGTTCAATTCAGTCTAAGTCGATGTCAAAGGATCCTCAAGAACTAATCTTTACCTCAAAATTACATACTTGTTTCACATGAAACTCACACCCCAAGCCTGGTCCAAACAAACTGGACTAGATTAGAGTAAAAGTGAACACATGACCTCCAAATGGGTTTCCCAAATCAACGAGTGGATAGGCACCCAACAAACCACTATTTATGAACGAACATGGTTTTAGGACATCCTCCTTCATAAGATTGATGATGTAGTAGCTTTTTCAAAAAGATCATTGAGTCACATATATTATTTAGTGAGACTATTTATGAACGAACATGGTTTTAGGACATCCTCCTTCATAAGATTGATGATGTAGTAGCTTTTTCAAAAAGATCATTGAGTCACATATATTATTTAGTGAGACTATTTATTAATCCGTATAATACTATCTTCTGTCTTTTTTAATCGCAACATGTTGAATTTTACATTATTCACATGTTCTACTTTGACTATATTTTATATTATTATTTTATGAAAATTATTTTTTAAAAAAAATATTGTTCAATTAATCTCATTAAAAATTTTCAAAATCTAATTTTTAAATATTTTTTACTAATAGAGATTAAGATATAATTACGGTCAAAGACGTGCGTTGGCAAGTGTGGAATGTTGACCGTTGCAACTAAAAAAGAACGGAAGAAGTATATAATTAATCAAATTATGTCTGTAGTTTGATATTATATGGAAAGTATATGTAATACCTTGGTTCAACACCAAGAAAACGCACATAATTTAAAATAATGATTTGAGGGTCATTTATGAATTTTTAAATCATTAAAAAATTAATCATGTGACAGTAATTAAGTAATAAAATGTACACAGCCGAGTCACTCTCCCTTGGGGACTTCCGAGTTCAATACTCCATGAAAGGAGTTTGAGATCAGAATAATTTATATTGTTGGGAGTCGATTTCTTTCCGGCTCAGGTCTACAACCTCCCCAATAGGCTCACATACACCACCCTAGGCTAGACCATAACACAACACCATGTTTTATCTCCACCACTAAGGTGCCTCTCTCAACTTACACACAAAGGAAAGGAGAAGGGGTCTGCTCTCTGGATTTTCTCTCACGCAGGACAAGTCTCAAAGGAAGAGGCTAAGGGTTCAAATAATAGTATTTGGCCACTTGACAACTCACGGGAGAGGCTAAGACAAAAGCTCATGGGCCAACATAGACAAGAATGCAGCGGACAACACGGAAAGGGGGCCAAACATTAGGTAAGTCAACAGCCAGAAGAGAAACAATTATCGGAATGGAACTGTGGGAGTAAACATAGGGTGCAAGTCAATAATAAAATGGAAGGGAGGCCTTGGTAGGACCAATACCTCCAACATTCTCCACCTTATTGGTCCTAGGTGGTGTAGAGTAGCAATACAAAGTTGTGAGGAGACTCATCATCGCCGGACCATTACAAGTACATCATTGCGATCATACAAGTAATAGATGAGAACCAAAGTTCCCTTTCGGACCAAGCTTACCGTGCAAACCCACTTCACGATGGACTGAACTCTACCAATCGGTCCTCGAGTTCAGAACCAAAACCATCACAAAACTATTAACAAGCACAACACATGTTAATAGACCACGCAAGCAAGCATTCGGGAGAAGTTGGGGATTCCAACTAATCCAACAACAACACAAAGCAAGTATAAAGAAAATAAAAGAAACAATATTATTTCTATCACTAGCACAGGCGGAGCTCACATAATCACATGGTATCACATTTTCAAAACACAAAGAAAATAGCATACCAAATATCACAAAGATTTTAATTAAAAGAGAATTAAGCACATTTAAAGCAGACTCAGTGGAAATATAGTCAAACACATTGCACATATTATTTCTCTCATGCTTCCTAATGTCTCTATCTCTAATAACATGGCAATCACGCAACTCAAGCATATTGCACACAACATTCATATCATGCTCCACCTTAATAGAAATATTATTTTCTTTATTTTCATCATGAAAAACATTTTCATCCACAAATTTGGGTTCGGTTTCAACAAGTAAATCAGAATGAACATCAGGCAAATGCTCCACCTCATTTGGAGCAACATCAGGAGAAACAAGCAGGCAAGGAAATTCATTTTCAACAAAAATGACATTTCTACTCATCAACACATTGAAGCAAGTTTCACTCCTACACCAAAGCCTATAACCTTTCATGCAATCATGATATCCTAAGAAAACATATTCCTTAGTCCTAGGTTCAGATTTATCATTCACACGATTCACATAAGCAGCACAACCAAACACTCTCAAATTTGGCAAATTAAGTGGTTTGCCCATGAACACAGATTCAGGGCATTTCCCTCCTAAGGGAACAGACGGGGACAGATTAATCAAATCAACAGCATAACAAATAGCTTCCCCCCAGAACTTATTAGAGAGCCCAGATGAAGCTAACATAGCCCTCACCCTCTCTAATAAAGTTCTAACCATCCTCTCAGCAACCCCATCCGGTTGGGGTGTGGAGGGAACAGATTTATGCATAGAAATACCCCAAGTATCACATAAATCCCCAAGCTGACTATCACAGAAATCAAAACTGACAGTGGTTCTTAAAAAATTAATTTTCTTACCGGTTTGTTTTTCAACAAGGGTTTTCCAGTTTTTAAACTTATCAAAAACTTCAGATTTATTCTCAATCAACAAAACCCACACTTTCTTTGAAAAATCATCAATCAACGTCAGAAAATAATTTTTACCACCATGAGTGGAAACACTATTAGGACCCCACAAGTCAGCATGAATACAATCAAGCACATGAGTACACTCAGGCAGATCAGGAAAACCAACTCTAGATTGTTTTCCTAGCACACAGGGTTGCACACAATTCACAGAATCAAGTACGGGTTCAGCATGACAAACATACAAGTTGTTTTTCATCTCAGCTTTGAAAACAACTAAACAACCCTTCACAACTTTCATGATTCCTTTTCTCCATTTTCCCTTCAAACCCTCATTTTCAAGAGAAGCACAAGATAGCAAATTACAACACAGCTCAGGAACATGCCTAACATTCTTCAAAGTAAGCACATAACCAGAAGAAAACCTAAGGCATACATCTCCTATTCCTAGCACATTGCATTTCTTCTCATTTGCTAAAGACACAAAGCCATGCTCAATCTCTCTATAGTTTGAAAAAACATTTTTCAAAGGGGACATATGAAAAGTACAACCAGAATCTACCACCCAATCTGATTTACCCAAAGAATCAGATATCACAGAACTCAGATAGTCATAATCACATAGATTTTTCATCATAAAAACATCACCTAAATCATCTTCACACGTAGTCAAATTAGCATGCTCACTATGCTCATTTTTCCTAGATTTAGGACAGTCTCTTATGAAATGACCAGGTTCATGACAATAATAGCAACGTCTCGAATTAGACCTAGACTTAGATCTATGTCGTCTACTATTATTTTCTCTACCCCTCACATGCAAAACTTCCTCGGATTTTCTACCCTCACCCATCTGTTTTAAATCTAATTCCTTACTCTTAAGACCATTTACCACAATGTCAAGAGTCACATTATCTCTACCATACTTAATAGCAGATTTCACATCACTAAAGGAATCAGGAATAGCATTTAAAAGAGCAATGGGAGAATAATCATCTATATGCTTATCACCACACAACTTAATATCCGAAATAAGTTTGGTAAAAACATCTAGATTTTCTTCAATATCTATAGACATATCTAGTCTAAATTTGAAGAATTTCTCAAGTAAAAATATCCGGTTAGGCAAAGAGGTTTCAGTATACAGTTCATCTAATTTATTCCACAGAATTTTAGCACTCTCTAAAATTCCAACTTTTCTAATCACAGAGTCAGATAAGTTCAAATAAATCACAGAACATGCATTTTCATTCATTTCGGCCCTTTTATCTTCCGTGTCAGAAATTAAATAGGTTTCGCCAACTGCTTTAAAACATTTTTGTTGTATTAAAATACATTTAATTTTTTGCTTCCAAATGCTAAAATCAGATTTTCCATTAAATGGAGCCATACCATACTGATTATAAGCAGACATTTTCACAGAGAAAAAATAAGCAACAAAAGAAAATGTAAATTTAGCTGAAAACAATTTAAATATTTATAAGGCAACAACTATACGGAGTAACTAACACGAACACGCAGGGAGTATTAATGAGCACCAAACTCAACTTCAAACCCCTTGTTCTTCCGTATAAGCACAAATAAATAATAAATTTTCAGCACAACACAATACAACAATTCAAACAATTTTAACAGCAATAATAAACCTAAAATATAATTTCTACACAATAAAAGATTAAAAAATCACTACAAAAGCGATAAAAGGGATAAAAGTCAATATACCGGAGCGAAACCCTAGGAGAGGCGTTTCGACCTTACCCACCCAATTCAAAAATTGGGATTTTTTCGGACTGTTGACTGCCTTTGACCTGCGTTGACCGAACTTTGACCGAGTTGACTGACTAGTTGACCAGTCTTCCCTTTGCTCCAGGTCCAGTAGCAGTCCAAAAGCACAATAAGCTCCAGCAGTCCAACAGCAAAAGCCAAGGTCCAAAAGCCCAACAAGCCTAGCAACTCCAGCAGGCCAATTCTAGTAGAGCAGCATCCCAGACTGAATCCAGCTCTCGTGCTCCAGGTCCAGGGTCTTCAGCGTAAGATTCACGCTTACTTCAAAGCTCCTGCTTCAAGTACTCTGGCGTCCGGGTCCGGGTATCGACAACACGCACCAGTTGCGATTGAACTACGACGAGTCCGGTGACAGCTTCTTCTACCCAGCGACGAACGAGCACAGCGACGGAATTCCCAGCCTTCCTCCTGCAACGGTTCCCAGGCAAACGGCGGCTCCAGCGATGATCTCCGGCGAGCGGTCCTCTGCAACCGGCGGCTTCAAATGGCGAGCAACTCTCTGCGGCGGCGAACTAGACCAGCACCGACTTCAACGGCGGAAGAACAGAAACCTCGAGTGACTCGAAACGGCGGCGGACGGCGGCGGCGGACGGCGGCGGACGGCGGCGGAGACGTTCCAGACTATGGAAACCGGCAAAATCGACGGCGACGACAACACAAGCTCTGATACCACTGTTGGGAGTCGATTTCTTTCCGGCTCAGGTCTACAACCTCACCAATAGGCTCACATACACCACCCTAGGCTAGACCATAACACAACACCATGTTTTATCTCCACCACTAAGGTGCCTCTCTCAACTTACACACAAAGGAAAGGAGAAGGGGTCTGCTCTCTGGATTTTCTCTCACGCAGGACAAGTCTCAAAGGAAGAGGCTAAGGGTTCAAATAATAGTATTTGGCCACTTGACAACTCACGGGAGAGGCTAAGACAAAAGCTCATGGGCCAACATAGACAAGAATGCAGCGGACAACACGGAAAGGGGGCCAAACATTAGGTAAGTCAACAGCCAGAAGAGAAACAATTATCGGAATGGAACTGTGGGAGTAAACATAGGGTGCAAGTCAATAATAAAATGGAAGGGAGGCCTTGGTAGGACCAATACCTCCAACATATATGTTAAGATCCGGGGTACCATGTCGTGATGTATAAATGGGCCAAACAGACCTTTAACAAGCTATTCGTAATTGACTGATACCATGTTAAGATTCTATGTTCTGTCCTAAAAGGTCAACCTGATACGAGAAGTCATCTAAAGCCTAATATAATGTTTTATTGTTTTATAACTTTCTGGTGTGGGACAAATACTTTTAACATCATCCTAGGTCCCCCCACCTCCGTCCTCCCACCTCCCTAGGATAAAACAAATATATATGCAATCAGGGACCGACGAGTCGTTGTCGGGACCAGTCCAATACCGGCTCGAGACCGGCCCGGTCATCATCCGGACCAGACAAAGACAGTCTGGTTATTGAGCGGATATGACGAGGATCGTCGGGTCAATAACCAGACCGGATAGGGACCGTTGGGTCGTTGACTGGATCAATCAGGGACAACTGAGTCATTAAACGGACCAGATCAGACTGGCATTGTCCGATCATCGTCCGGACCGAACAGGTATCGCCTGGTCGTTGATCGGACTAAAAGGAAACCGCCGGGTCATCGGCCGGACCACTAGGGACCGTCATGTCGTTGATCAAACTGAACTGGACCGAGACTGCCCGACCATTAACCGGACCGGACTGGTACCGCCGATTCGTTGACCGGACTGAACATGGACCTCGGGTCGTTGACTGGGCTGGACAGGGACCGCCGGATCATTGACTGAACTGGATCGCCGGATCTTTGACCGAACAAAATAGGGACTGTCGGGTCATTGACCGGACCGAAACTGACACCGGAGCGAGACCCTATTCACCACTGGGCATAAGTATGCACATTCATTACAATGGCATTGCAACATCCACATATTTCAAATTTGGAAAACTAATAAAACTCACTTCTCCAATTCATTAAGTAAAACATAGACATGTCTCATTTTTTTGGTTTTGCAAAACGATTTGATAAACACGTCTTTCTATTTTCCTTTCTCTAGTTTTCCATCAATTTTTTTTTCAGTAAACACGTTTTCTGAAAAACTAAAAATTATCTCTGTTAATGAAGAGACCCTTACATTCTTTCTTCCAAAAGAACCCCACAACAGAATAATCTCTTGTGGGAAAAATTGAAGTACACTCAAAAAGTCAATTGAGAATCATTTTACTTTTAAACATCTTACTACTCTCTTTTCTAATGCACTCGTTAATACTTTTGATGCTATTTCATTATGAATGTTTTTTCCATTGCTCCAGATCAAATTATATTGCAAAGAGCAAGCAAATTTACCGTATACGGGGGGAGGGTGGTTGGGATCTATTTTAGCTCAAGTCTACAAGGAAAAGCATCAAATAACATCCAAATCCACCCTAAATAAGTAATCCAAGAGCTATTTATTGTGCTCATAAGAAAAACCGAACAACAGACAGGATTATTAACAAGAGTTGAACTAGATTATTAAGAAGAAACACAAATGCAGATTATTTAAAATAATTATACTCCCTAGCTATGTCCTTGAAAGATCTTCCATTTCGCTTTTCGAGAGTCAACTTAAATCGCTCTTAATCTTTTACTTTATATATAAAAATTTATGAAATTTGAAATATTTTTTGCAGGCTTTGTAACGATTTTAATGTAGTTTCTGAATATGTAAATTTTATTTACTATAAATAATATGAGTTTTCATAGGGATCATTTAACTTTATCACTGGTCAAACTTCGTAATCCGTAATTGGAAGAATAATTAGGGACGGAGGGAGTATTCAACTAAGCTTATTATACGTAGTATGATCTAATAATCCAAGAAAAAATCAGCAGAAAAGATAATTTCTTTTTCTATTTAAATTAAGAAATCGATTTTGACATGAGGGGAGATGTGAAGAGTACCTGAAGGCTGAAGCTGAAGTGAAAATGAATTGCAGTTGCCTTACTCAAACCAATTATTATGTACTTATGTGGGGAGCTTATTCTTTCGTAGTATATATACTACGCTCTGTTGGGACTGGGGAGTACTTATTTAAAAATATATTTATTTGAAAATTTTCCAAGAAGGGGTTATTTACTTATTTACATGTTATTAGTTGGTAATATATTTACTATGGAGTCCCTTTTCATCTTTTTCTTCTTTCTTTTAGTTACTCTCTCCGTCCCTGATTAAACTTCCAATTTTCTTTTTTGGGTGTCTAGGATAAACTTTCCATTTTATTTTTGGTAAAACAATTTTGTTCACCACATAGCAATTCTTACATATTCACTACACATTTCTCTCTCGCACTACTTTTCACCACACAATATCCATAATCTTAATCCATGTGTTAAATGTACTTTAAAAGTTAATTTAGAGATGGATGGAGTACATGATTAACTTTAATAGTAGACAACTAGACGTATCATTAAATATGTTATACTCCAATTGAAAATAAAATTAATATTTACCGTGGTAATTCACAGTGATACTAAAATTAATAGACAAAGAAATGTAAAGTTCAAAGTTAAATAAGTTAAAAAGAGGCCCATATGACTTCCTTATGATGGAGTCATATGGAGTATTGTAGCACCGTTTTTACCATTCAATTTTAAGTGAGCCCCCCCACTTAAAAATTGAATGATAAAGAGGTGTCACAATACTTCATATGACACTATAATGGAGTCATATATCTTCATAAACTTATTAAGGGAAATGTTGAGGTAGGGAAAAAGAAAAGATTATGATTAGTTATTTTTGTAAAGAGAGAGATAGAGTGAAAAAGAAATGAGGAGAATAATTAGGGAGAAAAAAATGGAGAGGAGTGTGGCTCTCTCATGCGGTAGCGAGTGGCTTGTCTTTAGTCCTCCGACGTGCGGGATACCTCCCCGAAGTCCACCCAGTCTTCACCGGAATTGCTTTTTGAAGAATAAATAATTTTCATGATTTTTTTTTATAAAAAGCTTTCACGTGGAGTATAAATATAGATAATATTAGGTATCTTCTTTTATTCCGTGTATGACTTTTATTTATTACGGAGTATAATGTAGGTGGTAGGTGTTATTAACATTATTTATATTATTATGGACCTTATGTCGTTAAGATTTTTAATGTTTAGCTTGGATAAGATGTTTTAAAATGAGTTTGAGTGACAAATCGAAATGTTTAACCTCAGAATTATTATTATTATTATTATTATTATTATTATTATTATAATTATAATTATTAATAACTCAAATAGTTAACAAGCTAACAAACAATAAATAGACAAACGAGTAATAAATAAATATATAATGATATGCTTCTTTGGTATCTAAACACTTTGGATGTTTTTACTTGGAAAGAAATTTGCTGGTTTGATCTGGTTTAAACTAGTCTAATCTGATAAATGTTTGATCTCTGTGTATTTTATAACTGTGTAAGTTTGAGCTAGTATGTTTACGTCTAGTCTGGTATTCTGGTCTGAGATTGAAAACAGTCCAAGTAAAAATATATTTTATCTTTCTGGGCATACTTAAACATTACAACATTTCCATTCTTAATAATTTTTGCCCGAATTTTTCATTTACTATTTTCACGTTTAATACTTTCTTTCTTCTTCTTTTTTTTTTTTTAAAAAAGAAAATAATTAACTTTCATTCAATGAATCAATGTTCAATACATGAAGGAAAAGGAAGGAGGATAATCATTCCAATGAATGCAATCAGACACTGAACAGGCGGCCTTAGCCAACTCATGCGCCGCCCTGTTCGCTGATCTTCTAATATGAGAAAAAGAGATATCAGTAAAACTCAGGTTTATCTCTCTAATATCGCCGCCAATGATTCCCGCTAAAGAAATGCTCCTCTCCTGTAATAACTTCGAGATGGCCCCAAGAGAATCCGACTCCACATCCATGTGATCCCATCCTCTACCTTTCACCCAGCTCAAGGCCTCACGAATACCAATCAATTCGGCTTCTAACGGAGACAATACTCCCTGCCATATCTTCGAAGCCGCTGCAACAAAGTTCCCAGTACCATCTCGAATAAGCCAGCCCAGTCCACAACGCCTATCCCTCACTGCCACATCCACGTTTAGTTTGAATCTGCCCAACAAAGGTTTTCTCCAGGCAGAAGCTATTGCCCTTCCCACTTTTCCATTCCCCTGCCCATCTCGTTGCGCCAGAAACTAACTCTCCATATACAACCGAGCTTTCACCAGTACCTGCTTTGGATCAGACTGAATTCCACTCCAAATTCTATTGTTTCGTTCACACCACAACCCCCAGCAGCCCCATATCAGCCTGCATAATTCAGCCTCCTTTGCCCCAAATTCATACCATCATAGACCCCAACCAAGACCAACGGATCGCATCCCATGCCTCCTTCACAACCGGGCAGATCACAAAAAGGTGCTGAGGCGACTCTTCGTGCCCTCCACATAAACCGCAACTGACCACACAGTCCACCTTCCGACGTTTCAGATTTATCCTTGTAGGTAGTAGACCATTGCACAGCTGCCAGAAGAAATGCTTCACCTTAGGCGGGAGCTTCCACCCCCACATTTGAGTCCAGCCCTTCCACTCACCCGCCTCAACCTCTCCAGCGAGGGCTCTGTAGCAACTACGGACAGAGAACTTCCCCGAGCTCTCCCAATGCCAGCATAGTTTATCGGGCACAGATCTTATACTAATAGGAATCCCTTTTATTAAATCAACGTCACGCTGCCCAAAAACATCTCATAGAAGATCGACATCCCAGCCCTTCCCATCTTTACACAATAGATTCTGGACCCTTGCCTGCTCTAATCCCAGAAAAGGGGGTGATAGTACTCTGGGATGATTTTTATCAGTAAGCCAGGGCTCGGTCCAAATGTTAATTGCAGTTCCATTACCAACCCTCCAGTAGTAACCTTGCTTTATAATATCCTGTGCCTGAAGAATACTCTGCCAGATAAATGAAGGGTTATTATCCCACTTAGATTTTCTCTACACCTGCTATTCCACACTTAAATTTGAAGGGAGTATTATATGTTTAAATAATAAAATTGAGTTTGAGCTGAGCGCAATTCCTTAATAAGTCAGCTCGACTGCTCGAGTAACAAATGAAAATGCTTATTTGGGGAACAAGAAAGAAATTTAATAAAAAAAATAATACGAGTATGATAAATCTTTTAAGCACTAATATTAAACAAGAACCAACAATACGTGTTCAACATGCTAACTTATATTTCGTATGTAACGATAAGAAAAACGTGCTCAAAATGTTGTTCAAATATGATGCTTACACTCGTCATAAATAATCGTGTTTAAAATGCTTACTACAAGTTAGGCATGTACCCAGTCCCGGTCCGAGCCGGTTCCGGTCCCAAAAGCCGACTGGTCTTTAAAAAATATATATGGAGGCCCGGGGAAGGGACCTCTATTTCCGGTTCCTGGTCGGTTCCGGTTCGTTCCCGGTTCCAGTCTGTAGTCCCAGCGTATAGGTAAACAATGGAGCAGCAACAACGAGCTTGAAGTTCAAATTGCACCATCTTGGCAAGTTCATAGAAAGACGCTCACTTTAGAGCAAAAGTCACATCTCTTGCGACAATTATTGTTTATTTAAGAAAAGCAAGAATGCTCAGAGCAGCGAACAATTTATTTATGGAAAATCTGAAGTCATACTACAAGTAAAAAGGATCACATTTCATCAATCAAAGGAATGAAGTTCAAAACGGAACATCCTTATATGATGACACCATCTTGAGGACATAAACTGGATCCCCCACTTTTATTGTCTTATTTTTAGCTTGAACATGCCCTTCACCACAAACGAAGAACTGCCCGAAATATATCTGCACATAAATTCAACAATATGAAGAATAAAATCCAATAGCAAGCTTAATTGCAATTCCAAGGGAAGAACTGTACTGGATCTGACCTTTCCGTGTTGTTTATTATCTGGATGCAAGGTCTCAATTGAGCGGAACTTTGTAAGAGTTTGATTAGGCTCAGAGCCCATTTCTGCAGTTTCTTGATTAAACCTTGGGACCTGATCGTATCGTAAGGGATGTCTTATAAGCACCGATCTTACTTGATTACTACACAATTTCACACGCAATTTCATAATATACTTATGAAAAAATTATATTTCAAATGTATTTAATTAATGAAACAAAGAAATAAGAAAAAATCTAGGGAAAACTATCAATTAAGCCCCCCAATTTTTCAAAAAAATCAATTAAGCCCCCCTTACTGAAAGTTCAACCACAATTAAACCCCTAAACTCATTTTAAGTGGCAAATCCTCCTTTTAGTAGGTTTTCTTTCAATTTCACCTTGGGACGTGTGAGTACTTCACCATCTCCGCTGAAAAGGGGACGGCCGGCTTTCAATTAAACCAGAACCTCCGGTCTTACTTACTTGATTATTACACAAATTCACACGCAAAAACAGGAGTTCACTATTTGGTGAAACAAGTTGGTTAATAAACCAAAAAGTTGGCTACCAAATGAGCTCTTAATATTGAAGGTAGAGCAACTTCCTTTGGATACTTGTTAGATGAGTAGATGCGGAGAGAATTACCTTGCAACGTTCACAAAGTTGTGCAGTATCAAATTTTAATCCGTTAATCTTGATCTCTTTCCAAAAGTCTTCAGCATATGCTGCACATCCATCAACAAGAATGCTGCAGGAAAGCTCCACAATTTCATATAGATACAAAGGGAAAGAAGTCAAACAATGAGACTTGTTTCGGGACTTTTTGTACAAAAATAGAATGATTAGATCAAACCAAGCCATTTACAGGCAATATGCCAAAATAGAGTCCCATGCAAGTAAGCCTTTCTGCTATGGATTGATTTTATAAACCCAAGGTATACTAAAAATCAAATTATTGAAGTAAAAAAGATTTACTTAGGTCTAAATCTATTCATTGGTACAGGCTCCTCCAACTTCTCATTCAAAGCATCCAGTGATTTCTGGCAACAACGAAGTAACAAAAACAAAATAGTTACTGGAATCATAGTTAAAAAGGTATACATACTCAACACCATTTGGTCCAAGTCTCCCTCACCTGGGATGCCAGATGAATCGGATAGGCATCAGTGAACTTGATATTATGGCCAGCAGCATACTTGGGGTCTGCAGGCCTAGTCTGTGATGCTGTGTGTGATCAGAAAGAAGATCAGAGACATTTTACAGGAATGTTGTGAGATTTGAATTATAACTTTGATGGAAGAAATTACAGATTCATATGATTCACAGCTTCAACTTTTATCAAACTTCTGAAAATTGAGACAAATTAGGATGACAATTCCAGGTTTACATGAGAACTGCAAAATATGATAATAAAAAAAAGGCAATCTTACTTTGTCATATTACTAACAAAGTAACACATATGGGTCAAGTAAGCTCCTGCCCGGGTTGAATTGGCTGAGTTGAATTAATTGGACGGTTCTATCTAGAGACGGGCTCCAGATTTATGATGAAGGGACAAATTCTTTTGATAAAATTCATAAGAATGATCTCTACGTTTAGCGATTCTACAACAATAATTCGTACTTCAAATTTTACAAAAATAAACTCAATTCATGATGGTGTTCACAAAAATAAATCATATGAAATTTCCGTTACTTCATTACCTTCCGTTTGCTATTCCTTATTGACTCACTCGCAAAAATTTCCCTCTTCAGGTGACTTAGCAAGTTAGATTTTTAGAAATATGCTCTTGTTCTTCATACCGCTTTTTGAGAAAATGGAATTTCGGATATATTTTGAATTTTCGGAATCTTGCAGCCCCTGGGATCCTTAGATGCGATTATAAGAGGCTTAACAAATTTCATGACCAGAAAAGAGTGAAAGTTTAAGGAAGAAAGGAAACTCGCTTAGCTTTAGAAAGTCAGTATGGAATATAGAAGAGTTACATGAAAAGAAGAGTGGGGAAGAAGAGAGAGTAGGGATTGAGAGTATTAAATAAGTATTAGTTCGAATCACCTCAATTTATTTTTGTGAACACCATGGCTAATTCAGATTATATATATATATATATATATATATATATATATATATATATTCTGAAGATATTATTATTTTAGAACCCTTGAAAGTATAGATAATTTAAATGGTTTTTTTTATTTTTTCATTTACATACTACTATATAAACATTTTATTCAAAATATAAGCTAAAATTTTAATTTCGGACATCTAGAAGTATAATAATATCGGGATAGCAATGCAGACATTTTCTATTTGAAGAGGATGATGGGTTTAGTTCTTGGCAGAAGAGGAGGGATTGTTGGCGGTGACGATGGGCACCCTTATTATTAAGATTAAGAAGACAGTAAAACTTCCCTATTTCAGAGAGGTCATGTACTAATTCTAACAATCGAGGAAAGGAGTCCCGGTAAAAGACATTGACGATAAGAGGTAACTATTTACTTTATACATGAGATCGGTATGAAACGTGTTGTGGAGAACAGACCGTGATTGTTTGAACAAAACTTTTTAGTTCTGCATGCTCTTAAATTTGAGGATTTACCGTGGATCACTTTTGACTTCAACCTGTCCATCAAGTAGTTAGCGGCTCATACTGATCTTTTCTAGGGTGTTGGATTCTTTGTAAGATCTTAGAACTAGTTATCAAGTTGAGGTTATCTTTCAAGTTGTTTAGTTAACAATTGTTTCATTGTTATAATATAGAAATAATGGCATAGATATTATACATACACTCTTGATGGGCCAAAATATGACTGGTTTTGAATTTTCCAAAAATATGTTTTACAACTAACCCCAGCCCTTCCGTCTCCCTCTCAGCGAGTGCCCCAATCTCTCGACACCTTACGCCGCATCTACCGGCCAGCAATCAATCGGTGATGGAGGCATGGAGCGAAGGAGACGATCAGCGCCGAGTTCTCGCTCCGTCGATCTCTCTGCGCCTCATCTCTTCACACGACTATCCTTCGCATCTTTCTTCTTCTTCTCCGACGACCTCTTCATCGGCGATGGCGGCTAGGGTTCGGCGATGGCGTCTTGAGCCTTGGAGACGATATCCGCTACTGGCCTAACTCTTCTTCCTCTCCTTTCTACATCGTTTTGATCTCTACATCCGATACTGCTTCGATTGCGACGGAGATTCGATAGGTTAGAGCTTCAGATCTGATGTCGACAGACGCTGGCGGTTACAGGGATGGGGTTGAGGTGTGATTTTGGGCTGTGATTGTACAGCGGTTGGGGGCTAGGAAGAGGCTGGGGGGGCTGGTTGGCTGGGGAGGGGGGCTAATGGGTTGGAGAGGGGGCTGGTTGGCTGGGGAGGGGGGGCTGGTTGGCTGGGGAGGGGCTGATGGGTTGGAGAGGGGGGCTGGTTGGCTGGGGCGGGGATCTGGTGGGTTGGGGACGGGGGCTGGTTGGCAGGGGAGGGGCTGGGAGGGGGGCTGGTTGGCTGGGGAGGGGTTGGGAAGGGGGCTGGTTGGCTGGGGAGGGGCTGGGACTCCTGGGAGGGGGGCTGGTTTGCTGGGGAGGAGGTGGTGGGGGCGGGGAGGTGGGCTGGGGAGGGTCCAGTCCCGGTGTGGTTACGATTAGGGCGGCAGCTGTCAAAGGTGGTGTTTTCCGGGTGTGTATGCGGCACGGATCAACCGTGGTGTCGGTGGTGGAGGGGAAGGGGCTGGGGGTGCAGGGGAGGGGCTATAGTGACACGGGTGGTGGCTAAAGTGACACGGGCGGTGGCTAAAGTGACACGGGCGGTGGCTAAAGTGACACGGGCGGTGGCTAAAGTGACACGGGCGGCGGCTACAGTGACACGGGCGGCGGCTACAGTGACACGGGCGGCGGCTACAGTGACACGAGCGGCGACTACAGTGACATTCAAATCTGGCAGACACTATGTTTTTCCAAATATATGACCTTCTTGATCACTTTTTTGCCCCTTTTTAATTGGTTCAAAATTAGTAATATTCAAATAAAAACCCCTATAATATAAACCTTTTACATTAAAAACAATTACCTAGTTCTTTTAGTAACTGTATAATAAACTAACACTACCTCCGTCCCTTATTGAATGTCTTGTTTTAACTTTGGCACAATTACTAATAAAGTGGTTGAAAAGTAAAAATTATGGTTGAGATTTGATTGTTGAGTAGAATAAAGTGGAAAAATATGGACCACATTTGTCTTGCCAAAAAAGAAAACAAGACATTTATTTTTTGGACAACTCAAAAAAGAAAGTAAGACAATCAAAACGGACGGAGGGAGTTAATTGTAATAATGTGAATATTAGAAGTTTTACAAAAAACATTAGTAATCAAAAGAACAACAATACTATTAGTACTATTGATAGTAAACTACTAGAATAACTCAAAGTGACTAAATTGTGATACTCAAATCTGTACTATGTAAGTCTTGAGCCACACTAGTTAAAATCAGATCAAACATGACAATACCTCAATTGACCAAATAATACTAGACTACACATAAGCAGACCAAATCAAACTTAAATAATACTTGCCCGTCCAGCTTAAAGGTTCCCATTGCGAAATGACATGATTATTTAGACAATAATTAAATAAGATCATTCGAGTATGTAACTTTTTTATTTTTCTTCTTTATCCATTTATCTATCGTTTCACTCTACTTTTTGTAGACACACCTTACTTTTTCTAACTTTTTTGACAGATAGAATTGTAAAATTATTATTTTATCATTAATTTTCTTAAAAATTGCCCCAAATCCTCATGTATCTTAATATCTTATATTAGAAATACTTACAAAACTATGACTAAAATAATTACAAAAATTGTAGCCTCTTAAATATAGCGATTATAGTAGTAAATTAATCATAGTAAGGTATGTTCAACATTTACACTTAAATTACCATGACAATATACTAACAGTAACTCTAATCTTATTTTTGTAAATAAGTTTTATTTTAATAAAATTGTCCAAAACAAGACCCACATTCAAAGTGACCAAATCTGAATCAGACAGGATAAACCAAAGTAACATATGAAACGGACGAGTTGAGACCAGAAGTGGGAGTACCTTCATGAAAGCGCACGAGCCGGCTAGGTTGCTCAAGATACTGGGTGAACCATTCTGCCGCTTCATCTCCCTCGTCCAAGGCGGCGCCGGTCCACCCCCACACCGAGACACCATCGGATAAAGTAGAAGGCTCAATTAATGGGACCTTCAGGACATTCATTCCAGAAGCCCTTACCTCTGTTCAATTTTATAATGGACCGGAAAATAGCTCATCACTAATCAATAATTGAAAACTCAAGAGGAATAATCAAACATTAAATCCATGAGTTTCAATGCATCGGATAACCTACCGAGAAACGAGCCGCGATGGGGTTCCCAATCTTCCCGAAATGCCTCAGGAGGTAGAGCCACTTCAACCAGAGCAAGCTTGGGGTGGACTCTCTGAGTACATGCTCTGCCGCTTGAATTCACCACCATCCATAGCCGATCCCACCGGAACCCTAAACGTACCATTATTAGCGGCGGAGGAAATCGAGAATCGGAAATATTTCATTTACTGATTTAATACCAGTGGGAGTGACGGGAGCTTGGGAAACAGAAATCCAACGGCATGACTTGATTGGGAAAATCCAGATGGACTCCACTTTTGCGGCTTCTTCAAGTTCTTCTTCGATAGCTTCTTCCTTCCATAGAAGTCTGCTGAATAGGCTAGTGATGCTCATGGTTGAGTAAGTTGATTGAATTGTCTAATGTCTTTCTTCTTCTTCTTTTTCTACTAGCCAAAAAATTGATTGGCAATTCACATATCTCAGAGGTCAGGGTGTAAAACCCCAGAGAGTGTTTTTTCATCCTCAAATGGCCCACGTGCAGAGTGCATAGTCAAAAGTCACGGAGGCGTAGAGAACAATCTCAACTCGACTAGCAGCGCGTCATTAAGGGTTAATTTGCAATTCCTTTTAAAAAAGCACTTCTCAGCTTTTGGCTTTAAAAAAGTACTTATTTTCCCAAACACTACAACTTTTATTTTTCTCGTCTTCCGCGTCAAAAGTGCTTTTACTTTTTCTATTACACAAAAAGCACTTATTTTACCAAACACTACCCACTTTTACTTTTCAAAATCACTTTTTTTCTCAAACACTATCAACTTTTATTTAATCACTTCTCCCCATTTCATTAAAAAAAACACTTTTTTAAAAGCAGAAGCTGTTGCAAACAGACCCTAACACGCGTGCCCTCTTGCCAGCAAAAAAGTCCCAAAAAAGTCCTGCAACTCCCATGCAATGGGTGCATTGGAAATAATGTGGCAATTAAATGGAAATAGTCGATTATGTACCACTATTTTAAATAAAATTCATCAAATTTAAGATGTGTTTGGAATTAAATTGATAAAATATGAAAACAATATTTATATAAAAAATTATAAGTATGGTTGATAAAGGTATTGAATATTTCATAACATCTAACAATACTATGTATTTTATTAGTGTAATAATACCGTGCAATACAAAATAGCTGTTATTATGATTACAAATTAATAATCAATAAATGTCCTCCGTAGTATATTGTGTTAGGCTTATAATCTTATGAGTGTCTACTATAAATACGTTAAATGAATGTAAGGATGTTTATACTTGGACTGTAATTTGTCCCAGACCAGACCAGACCAGATCAGTCCAGACCAGACCAGACCAGTTCAGACCAGACCAGACCAGACCAGACCAGACTTGGATAGTTATAAAAATACAAAGAAACCAGACCTTACCAGACCAGACCAGACCAGATCAGACCAGACCAGACCAGACCAGCAAATTACAGTCCAAGTAAAAACATCCTAAGTCAACACCAACTAAGTGGTTCAGTTGGTTCCTGTTGCGCGTGGTCATGAAGAAATCCAGGGTTCGAAATAGTCATGGACCAGGCACGGGTCGGGCCTAGGCCCAGCCCGGCTTTTGAGGGTTGGGGAAAGGCCCGGAACCGGCCCAGGTTTCCACCGGGTACGGGCTGGGCCGGTTTAATTTTTTTTTTTTTGCTTTTCTAACTACCCCTGACCCTCCCCCTGACCCCCACCCCCCCAACCCCCAACCCCCCCCAAAACACCCAGCCCCACCCGGTTGGAACCGAAAAAAATTGAAAAAACAAAAAAAAAAAATAGTTTAGACCCAAACAAGACCCCGGCCGGGCCGGGCCGGTTCGCATTTCACATAGCTTATACCCGCCCCGGTTACCCCCACAAACCGGGCCTAGACCCAGAACCGGTACCCGGTTCCCGAGCCGGGCCCACACAGTGCCGGGCCATGCCGGTTCTCGGGCCCGGGTGGCCCGCACCGAGTCCAAGCCTAGTTCGAAACCCCCCTAGAGATTAAGGTCTTTAGGATGGGGTTTCCGGGTTTGACCAAAGTACTGGTTCTTCCAAGTAATTACCAGTCCGGGTCCCGTCCGGGTTTGGGCGGGCGGGCGGTTATTTCCGGTTTTAGGGAGTGTTTGCATGGGCTTAAAAAAGCACTTTGTGGCTTTTAACTTAAAAAAAGCAGAAAATGGTGTTTGTAACTAACAACTTCTAATTAAAAAAAGCACTTTAAAGCTAAAAGTTGTAAGCTGGTATATACCAACTTCTAAGTGCTTCTAGGTATTTATGTAAAAAAACCAAACTTTGAGGATGATTATAATGAACAATTTATCTAGCTCACCCCAAGATACCCTTTATTCCTTTCGTATCTCTCCAACTTCTCGTAACCTCTTTCGCCATTGTTGAAAAACCTGCTCAAGAACATAAACAAGAAAAAATGACTTTTGCGATTTCCAACTTCTCGTAACCCCTTTGGCATGTGCTTTTGCGGATTTCCAAGGTCTTCAACAATATTAGATATTAATTCTTTAAAAAAAAACTACATATATTATATACGTATATAGCAATGAAAATCGAGGGAGATGCCAATCGCAGGGGAGATTTGCAAGGACATCAAAAGACTGGCTTGCACCGTCATCTAAGGGTTTCTTCATGAAATTTCGGAACTTCAATTTGAAAGGTGATAACAGAGTACTCCGTTTTTTTAATTTAATAAATACTTAAGGGTATTATTGTACTTCAACAAAATATTACATCTAAAATCACTTTTTTATCAAATACTCCAACTTTTACATTTTAACTAAAATCACTTCTATTCCCAAACACTACCTACTTTCACTATAAATCACTTTTTCAATAATCTCTTAAAAAAATCACTTTTAAAAAGCACAAGCAATCGCAAACACTCCCTTAGGCTTGTTTGCAGGTTTACCCTCAACCAGACCGGTCATTGGGCCGGGTTCCGGGTCCAACCGCCCGGTCCTGTCCGGTTCTCTTAACACAGATCTGAAGAGCCAATTTAAGAAAACCACAAAAAAACAAAGGGAGAACAGTTTATTAATGGCAAATCTGAAGTCATACTACATGTAAAATGGATCTCATTTATTAGTCAAAGGTATTGAAGTTCAAAACACAACATCTTCATAGGAGGACAGCTTCTTTAGGACATAAACTGGATCTCCCACTTTAATTGTTTTACTTTTAGCTTTAGCATTGTGATCGTCACAAATAAACCAGTGTCCGAAATATACCTGCATATAGGCAAATAATATGAGTGAAAACTTTTAAAACTCTGAGGAATATAGTTCAATAATGAGTGAAAACTGTTGAAACTTTGAGGAGTGATTTAGAATCTTATACATAGTACTAACTACTATCGTATAATGATTTATTACATTACACGCAGTATTAATCTAGGGCGTGTAAGGACAAATAATTCAACAAAACCGGAGTATAACACTTTAGGAATTGATTTGTTGAATACCAAATGCATTTTACTTCAAATTCAATAGTATTAAGTACATAATTCAAATGCAAGTGAATTCTCGAAAATTCCAAAAATATGATTGTTATGTTTGATTCCTAATTACTGCCAAACTTGAAAAATACCGCTAAATTTAAAATTTGCTACTACCAAAACATGTCAGTAATTACTCATATATTTAGAGAATAAAAACGTAGTAGTCCTAATTTGGAATACATAAACGTTTTAGTGGATAATTTCCCAAATAATAGGGGGGGAGGGGGGTTGTAGAATCTCTAACCTTTCCATCTGATTTTTTATCTGGATTCAAGATCTCGGTTGAGCGGAATTTTCTCATTGTTTGAGTTGGCTCTGAGCCAAGTTCTGCCGTTTCTTGATTAATTCTGGGTACCTGATCAACAATTTCACTCAAGTTTATACTATGAGATCACAAAAAAGTCCAATATCAAAGGCAGGAATAATTACCTTACAACGTTCACAAAGTTGTGTAGAGTTAAATTTTAATCCGTTTATCTTGACCTTTTTCCATAGATCTTCAGCAAATGATGCACATCCATTAACGACAATGCTGCATGCAACTTCAAAAATGAGTTTTTAAAAACTAATCCAATTTCTATGGTACAAAAAAGTTCCGTTTGATCAAAACAAGTAATTTTCAAGCAATTCTCTCAATGAGATAAAAAATGAATTTGGCAGTAAAAGAGTTCAGAATTAACTAACATGATGAATTTGCATTTTATTTTATCATCATGAATTTGCATATGAAATCGGGACTAAAAAGATGAAAATACAAAATGAGATAAAAAATACTCCGTACGGAGTAAGATAAGATAAAAAAATATTAAAAAGTAGGAGTATGAGAAAGACAAACAAGATAAAAGGGAAAGTTCCCGAAATAGGACAAACAGTTTGAAAATTTCAAAATAGAACTGTGTGTCATGTATTTTATTCCCAAAATACGAGTAATTACTGCAAGTTTGGAAAATACTGCCATGTTTGAAGTCTGGTACTGCCAAAACATGACAGTAATTAGTCCTATTTTGAGAATAAAAATATGGCGGTCCTATTTTGGAATTTTGAAACCTTTTTAGTCCTATTTCGGGTAATATTCTCAAGATGAAAAGATAAAGAACATACGAAATAAGAAAGAAAAAAAATAAAATAAAAAAGTAGCACATTACTCTTTACTTTTGCAATAAATATATGTTTGAGTCTTCCTTTACCGCTTATTCCCCATTTTCTCCCCCACCTCTCTATTGGCAAACAAGTGCACACAACATTTTATGCATAATAACATATAAATTAAAAATATAAATTAAATTTTGAGACACTTTTCGTATCTAGAGTACCTTCTACAAAGAATCGTTATTTTAATAAATTGTACTATAAAATTGAAAATTTGAATTTCAGAAGTTTTACTTGGGTCTAAATCTAGTGATCTGCACAGGCTCCTCTAACCGCTCATTCAAAGCATCAAGTGATTCCTGGAAACAAATATAATGAAGAACCCAAAAGAAAAATAGTTATCAGAATCGTAGTTAAGTAAAAAAAAAAAGAAAGAAAAAAACATCACGATTTGGTACCAGATTCTCTGACCTGGGATGCTAGAAGAAGCGCATAGGCATCTTGGAACTTAAGTTTGTGGCCCGCAGCATATTTGGGGAATGCAGGCCGATTCTGTGATGCTGTCCGTAAACAAAAGGAGAGTGATATTTCAATTAGATGTCCTTAGAGAGTTAGATGTGATCATGTGACTGATAAAATTAATGGAAGCCATTATGGGAACTCAATATCAAACTTTTAAGAATTCATACCAATTGTTAGACCATTTGAGAATTTATATCAATTATGGGTGAACAAAAACACTGAAAAATCGAAACTGACCGACAAACCGACCGAAACCGAACCGACCAAAACCAAAATTGACTCAAACAGAGACCGTCCAAAACCGATTAATCATTGTCAATTCGATTTACGGTTTCACCTTTTGGGTTAAAAAGCCGACCGACATAAACCGACAAAACATGCTAAACCAACCGAAATCGACACAAACCGACCAAAATTAATCAAACTGAAACCGAACCGAAACCGACTCAAGTAGTGTGGTTCGTTTCACGGTTTCATCTTGTCTAAAACCGAAACCGACCAAACCGATAACCTACCAAACCGAACCGACGAACACCGCTAGATCTTTACTCCAATTAAAGACAATTACTTTTATAGAATTTATTATACTATTTTCACATGAACAGAATAGTTTTACTCCCATTGAAGGCAAGCAATTACTTTTATAGAATTTATACTATTTTCACATGGACAAAACATATACAAAAACTAAGCATTCCAGCTCAGCTGGTTGTGAGCTTACCGTGCCTAGTGAAAGTTCTCGAGCTTGAAACCCGCTAGACACATAAGGGTTCGAAACCCAATGAAGTGAGTTTCAGCCCTAATTAGTTCTTATATGATGAACAAAAATGTGATACCAAAATAGATATATTAATACGAAGTAACTTTTGGAGCAGGTTTGGTAATACCAAAATAGGCTGAATCGGCTGACTCTGCTGAAATGTATGAAATTCTAGCTGAAGTGACTGAATTGGCTGATTCGTATATTTAAAATATATTTTATTAATAAAATAAAGAAAAAGTTAAATGTAAAAATAGTTAAAATGGTCTTCTACACTAACTTCAGCCAATACAGTCAGAAAAATAACTCCAATCTTACTATTTCTTGTTATAACATAATTCAGCGTGAGAAATCAAATATTACATGTTGAAAAAGTTGGCCGATAAGTCTCATAAATCGAAAAACTGAGCTACCAAACGAGCACTTAATGATTATGATTATTTCAGTTATTTCATTTTTACATTTAAAAAATGGCACATAGTAAATTTAGTCATACTTTTATCCATGAATTTTGTTTGAACAAAATATTGTAGAAAATTAAAACCTCTACAATATTTTATTTAGTTCATTTTAATATATGAACAACTTGGACTTACATTTATGATATGATTTAGGTGACAAATCCGGTACTCATTTAAAAAATGAGTTACTGTACATATCATTTACTTTATTGGTGCACATCATTATATCATTTTATGTCCCCAACCACACACATCTTCAATAACAGTCCAAACAATAATAAAAAATAGAGTGAGATGCCAAATTGCCAATATGCCATCTAGAGTGCGTACCTTCGTGAAAGCGCACTAGCCTTCGAGGTTGGCCAAGAAACTTGGTGAACCACTCCGCGGCTTCCTCCCCCTCGTCCAAGGCAGCGCCAGTCCATCCCCACAGGCCCACACCATCAGTCAAAGTCGAAGGTTCAAGCAATGGCACCTTCAGAACATTCATTCCAGGAGCCCTTACCTCTATTGAATAGATCGACCTAATCATTAATCCTTCCCCAAATGTCTTTCTAGTGAAGTACATTTTACTGGAATATGAACTTTAACCTACCAAACATTTTGAGGAGATCGACTCTGGAGTCATATATAGTATTGTGGCACGGTGGTGTCATCACTATCACCCATTTTTTAACCTATTATATGTATGGAGTAATTTTTAGACTATTCCACTTATATTTAAGGGAAACACTATTTTCCAAGTCAATGATGTTAAAACTTTCACGGATTATATACTTATACACAGTGGCGGACCTAGTAATTACATTTTGGGTGTTCAGAATTACACATTTTCTCTTTAAAATACTATTAAACAAATTATTACTCTAATTCAGATATACATATTCCTATTGTTTTTTTTATTTTTGGGTGTTCATGTGAACACCCTTGCATAAAGGACATCCATCACTGCTTATACACGGTAATATTGATAATAAAAATATGATACTCCCTCTGTCCCAAAAAAGGTTCGCCAACTTTGACTTTCACGTGGATTAATAAAGTAAAAACTGTGTTGTTGAAATTTATGCAAAGGAGAGAGAATTAATTTTAGCCACATATTCTTTACTTTAAATAGAAATAGCGAATCTTTTTGGAACATCTAAAAAAAGAAATTTGGCAAACCTTTTCGGAACGGAGGGAGTACTACATATGAAAATGTTCTTTGTTAAAGATATTATCATAAAAGTATAAATTTATTAAATTTCACATAAATATATATTAAAATAATGGATCAAATGTTATCACCTTTGACTGAAAAAGTCAAAGTTGATTAAAAAAATAAAAATTACTTAGGGTCCATATATTAAAAGGCTCTAAAAAAAATGAGCCATGGGCGGGCTTAGACATGAGGTGGCTCGAAAATGTGTCACATAGTCAAAAGGTTTGGAAAAGACAAGAAAAATTTGGGAATAGATCATCAAAGACATGAATACGCTTAAAGGCATGAGCTAGGTGCGAAAGACGAAGCCAGGCAAAAATTCTTTGACAAAAGTTTTTTTACAAAGAAGTTGACCATATTTAAGAAAAAAACAATTATATAAATATGCTATATATAAAATTTAATACCACGCTGTAAAACCAATGACATATTTTTTTGTGTTTGCACTTTTTATACATTTAGATCCCGTTTGATAACACTGAAATCGGCTGAATTAATTGTTTATGTTGATATTCATGAAGTTCTAGCTAAAATGACTGATTCTGCTTATTTATGAAAAAGTTATATATAAAAGGGATATTACCCGAAATAGGACTAAAAAGGTTTCAAAATTCCTAAATAGGACTGACATGTTTTTATTCCCAAAATAGGACTAATTACTGCCATGTTTTGGCAGTACCAGACTTCAAACATGGCAGTATTTTCCAAACTTGACAGTAATTACTCCTATTTTGGGAATAAAAAACATGACAATCCTATTTTGGAATTTTCAAACTGTTTTAGTCCTATTTCGGGAACTTTCCCTATATAAAATACTCCCTCCGTCCTGCTAGAAGGTTCCCGTGAACGGTTCACGCTCTGATTATTTTTAGTAAATACTCAATTACTCTTACTTTTTCTACTTTTTATTTTCTGTTTCATACTTTTTCGTTATCCCTTTTACTTTTTCTACCCTATTCACTACTCCTACTATTTCAGTCTTAAAACATGTGTGGACACATATTGTAGCAAACAAAAAAAAATACGGAGGGAGTATCAAACTACCAATCCGATACTACGTAATTACTAGAAGAAAGGAGTACTAAACTCGGATATCCGAATCCCGGATTCAACACAACCTACCCAAAAACGAGTCCTTTCGGGCCTTCCAGCCGTGGCTGAATGCCTCCGGCGGGAGTTCCACCTGAACCAGAGCAAGCTTCGGGTCGACTCTTTGCGTAGCCCCTCTGCCGCTTGAGTTCACCACCAGCCATTGACGATCCCACCGGAAACCTAACCATACCAATACCAGCAGATGAAAAGACTAAAAAGATTCAGACAGATCAGATTCAGTAGGGTATATACATACCGGTGGAAGTGATGGAAGCTTCTGGAGGAGAAATAGAACGGCAGGATTTGATAGGGTATATGAAGATGGACTCCACTTTCGCTGCTTCTTCACCTTCTTCTTCTTCTACTTCTTCCTTCCATAGAAGAAGTCTGAGGAGTAGTTCCTTCCATAGGAGTCGGAGTAGGCTAATGATGCTCATTTTTCAGTAATTTGAATTGTTTTGTCTTTCTTCTTTTCTACTGCCTTCTTGCTGGCCGGCTGTATATATACGACGTATATAGATATAGCTTTGGGCCGTGTAATGATTAATTATTGTTTCATTTCCCTCCATTTGTTTATTATCAAAATATCAAGAAAAGCTGCACAAAAGATTGTAATCAATGACTGATGACCACTATGACCGTAGTGATTAAACTACTAGCTTATTCTTCTCTCCTAAGATTTTACAAGCCCGTTTGAAAATCTAAGTTCTGCCTGAAGTGATTTTATTGGCAGATTCTGTCGATTCAGGAAAAAAAAATTTTAAAATATATTTTATTAATAAAATAAAGAAAAAATTGTATGTAAAAATAGCTAAAATGATCATCTACAATAACTTCAACCAATACAGCCAGAAAAGTAACTTCAACCTAACTTTTTCTGCTTATTACACAATTCAGCGCGCGAAAGCAAATATTACATGTTTGGTGAAAAAGTTGGCTGATAAGCCTGATAAGCCGAAAAACAGTGTCGCCAAACGGCATCCAAATTTGAGTGGTACTTAAAATGAAAAAATGCTATTTGTACGCACCAAATTGTACACAATATTATACATGACAATCTAATTGTCTGTACACAACAAGTTGATTTTTGTCACAAACATTTTTTTCGTCGGTGCAATTTGACTGCGTGTAAAATGTTGTGTACAACTTCATGTGTACACGGAGCATGATTGCAAAAAATAATAAAGTAAAAACGGTGTGACTGAAATTTGTGTAAACGATTGAAATATAGCAAAAATAAGAATGACAAAAGTTGCAAAGATTTTTGAAGTGTACTAAAAAGAAAGATGTCAAAATTTTTAGGAATAGGGAGTACTCTATATTTTTAAGAAATGCGGAGTATCACTTTTCTACGTATTTGTTTTCATTATTATATACGACTTTGAAAAAATATATCCATATTAGATTATCTCACATACATATATGAGAAATGGACAATACAAATATAGGGGCCGTTTGGAACCAGCTGGATCGGCTGGATCGGCTGGATCGGCTGGATCGGCTGGATCTGGCTGAAAAGCCTGAAAAGACTGAATCTGCTGAAGTGAAAGTGTTTGGTAATATATTGGCTGAAATGACTGATTGAATGTAAAATTACCGTTAAGGGTATTTTGTTAAAGATATGGTGTGCACTTTTGAAGAGTGATAAACATGATCTTAATACCTTCTCCGTATATAACTATACTCCGTATTAGATTATCTACTTCAGGGTGTGTTTTAACTTTAAAGCATTTCTATGAATTTAACAAGGTTATCATCGAATCAGGGTGATATATATCTTCTCAAGCTCACACAACCGCATCTTATCCATTTAAAAAAATACTCTGCAACTATTCTCCTAGGCAGTAATAGTAGACACCTTGATCAAAGGGAATTTAAATAACTTCCATCACCAAGCAATTCAAAGTAATTTATGCTAGAAATTACTGAAACTATAAAACTTCATAATTAAATTCAGAGTAATGTAATTTAATAAATCAGTATCCTTCGAATGAGAGGAGTCTAAGGGGACGCGCAGAGTTTCAGTAATTTCCTCCTTCATAGTTGGTTTCTTGAAATCCCGGGGACAGAGATTCACCGCCGCCGTATACGTGTTCATCGCCAAGGATGACGCCAACGGGTTTGAATCTCACTGTCCTTTTCGCCCCGGTCCTGCTCATCTTCGGAAGCAAGAATTGAGGGCCGCAACAATTGAGGAAGAAGATAGAGGCCAGGTCAACCTTTAGATCTGGACAAAAGTATGCGCTGCCGCGGAGGTTCTCGTCGCTAGGACAAGTAAAGAAGATGCGATAATAAAAGGGTAAACATGTACTTTACGTTGGCAACGGATATATTGATAACTTTCAGGTCAAAAAGTAGCTCCATGGTTACTTTTTTGACTGATAAGAAAAAACAGCCCAAACAGCCCATTTGACATGTGTTTGGCTTTAATTTTGTATTTTCAGGCTTTTCAGCCCAAAATCAGGACCCCATAATGTAAGAGTGTTCGAGAAGCTGAGGGTAAATTTATGATGTATGTGAGATCATCTAATATGGATACATTGGGACAATACAAATACAAATATAAATACTCCCCCGTAACAAAATAAATCTCCTCACTTTCCTTTTTCGTCCGAGACAAAAAAATCTTCTCACTTTTAAATCTTCCCATCATATCTCAATAATTCTGAAAATAATACACTATTATAACTACTTTTTTGGATTTATCTTACATTCCATCACATTATTCAACTATATTTCTATCATACCCTCAATAATTCATATCATCTTTCACTCCTCTTAATTTACCTACTTTTAAAATGGGAAGATTTTTAAGTTAACTAGGTATGATGGAGAGTATTCGAGAAATGGACGATACATCGGGATAATGACATAATGTAAGAGTATTCGAGAAGCTGAGGGTAAATTACATTACAATATTTTGTGAAAATTGTAAATGAGGAAGATAATTACGAAAAGGGAAAGAGTACATTGGAAGTTGATGAAAACCAATGCAAAACAGGAAAGAATTGCGGAAAAGGACAAATTTAAAAGGTTACATGGCCGCGCACTATAATGCTGAGACAAAGACTACCGTACATAGTACACCATTAGCGACCGACATCGGAGCCTCTACCTTACTTTAGAATAAAGTAGAGTGTCTTACTTCCTTCCGGTCGTTCGATCGACAATTCAACGGTCGGAGATCTTGGTTCCACTTTGTTCGCTAATCTTGAGGCCGTGTTGGCCGCTCCCCTCCCGTCCGATGCGCAAGGCACCCTCCTAGTCGGGCAGAGAATCCCAATCCTGTTAGCCTGAAGTACTATTTGCAGAAAGAAATCAAGAGTTGCAATCAAATCTGATAAAGACTGAAGTAATAATACAGCAAC